ATGCTCCCTAGCTGCATGTCTCGGGCACCCTCACCTCTGACGCCGTAGGCAGTGTGCGCGTTTGGATCCCCGTGCTTGATGCAGATGGCACATTTCAATGACGGCCTGCCGTTAGTCATGCGCATTAAGCGCAGCCAACTGAATTTCTTTGACCATTGCGAATCGAAAGTCGTTTTTACCAACTCATACTCAGCCTCTGCAGAAGCGGTTGGAGGCTTCGGCTGAGCAGGAGCAGCACGGCGTGGCGGTGATGCCTCTTGTCGTGGAGGAGGGGCGCCCCAGAGCCTCTGCTGCTTGTATGTCACGCCCACACGCTGTCGCTTCGCGGGCGCGGAGCTAATTGTGGACGGGGCTGCAGTGGCCGGCTTCGACGGGCCTTCGCCGCCATCGGGAACAAGCTCGAGAGACGGGTGTGGCTCCCGGGACTTTGGCGAGGCCGAACGCTCGCACGGGAAAACGGTGCCGACAAGAAATTCAGGGGATGGCTCACGCGCAGGCTGAGAGATAGGGACGCTATAGTTCTCAGCCAGCCGAGGTAACACACCGAGAACGGAGAGACCATTCCTGGTGCTACCAGGCGGATCAGGCTCAGAGGCAGGCATTCGGAACAACAAACGAGAAGGAAACGAGAGAATGGCAAGAGCCTGAGAGACCCCTCGGGAATCACAAAGCCCAAGGCGCCTCAGGCAGCAAGGTTCCCTCGCTGGTAGGGAACTGCACGGCAATGGCTGCAAGGCCACAGTGACTGCCAGGTGGTGGAAACGACAGCACGTACCCCACCTGGCGCGCAATTTGCCTCCGTTGGCAGTGCGCGATGTTGCGTGACGCACGGAAACTGGGTGCGTTGGCTTCAATGTCGCTCAACGGACCAATCGTAGGTGTGCGGTGCCATCCGCCCTGAATGTACGTTGGCGCGCCAGTGGGTGTATCCAACAAATGGTCCAGTGGGACCGTGGAGCATTTCGTCGTGGCGCGGACTGTGGCGGAATCCGCGGTACGGAAAAGTTCCGGTAAAAGGGTAGTTGAACCCCTACCCTGATACAGTCAGTGTAACTGGAAAAGCTACAAGAGTACTTTTAAGCGTATTCTGATTGCACTAGGGTAAAAATCTGCATACCCTGATTTGAAAAGGGTAACTGCCAAAAAGTGGCCTATGAGCAGGGCAAAAAGGGTAAAATACCCTTGAAATTTGGGCCCTGCTCGTATGTATTACGGTACATTTGGTTGGGAGTTGGCACGATTGATCAGTGCTGATTGATGTGCGATGAGGTACCGTTACCCGTACTGTACTATGATCTTCCCAAACATACAAGCAAGCACATTGGAGACTTCTGTACCACTTCAGAGACGCCGGACATCACTTCTCCAGATGTTGTGAGCTGTGCTTGTGCTTGTTCCTAAGCGTTTTTTCTTGATCCCCAATTACTAGATACAAGCTAGTTGTTTCGTGCAGAATGCATTTTTTCATCCTACCTAATTAGCAAGATTAGACTTATGGTTTGGACCATCTTGCAGTTCTTATTACTCATGGTGCTCAAGTGTTCCTACACTACACTTTCGTGTCAGAATCCCAACCACTAGACCATTGGGATAAAAGGGCTTGTTAAGTAGCGGGTCAATGCGCCCATAACCCCCCAAGACAACGAGCCTGTAACCCTTCCCTAGGATCAATCGGGGATCACCAGTGGACCTCTGACATTTCGAAACGTGGAGCAGACATCATTCAACACCGTACAGGAAGGACACGTCGATCAGAACATGTTGGCTGGGATTTTCCAGTCCCTGAGGTTGAAGACCCTTTTCCGCCATCTTCCGTCCACGCCAAATGCTTCCGTCATTGCTGACCGTACAGCTTAGTGCGGTGAAACATTGTCAATTAGGTCTATATCGTGCCAAACTGTTCAACAAATCTCATTGATAACTATCGGAAAGTAGTTTACCGGAAAGTGAAGGCAGCCGAAACTAGCTTGTACCGTATTCTCCCGGACAAAACACCCCCCCATAATTGTACACCCCCGGGTAGCTTGTGCGGGGTGGGTGTTATGGGGAGCCTCGTTTCTACTATACCCCCCTTTTTGCCTGATTCTCTATAAGACCCGGGGGGGGGGGTGTTATGGGCGGCAAAAATACTGAATTTGCTTACTGTACATTGCATACAGGGTACTTTACAGGTACCGGTACTACAGAAGTAATGTGCCAGCACATAGGCATCGACAATGTCACCTAGACTGCAGAAACATCACCACAAGAGCACCTCACATCCACAATTTCACCTAAAAAAACTCTATACAAAGTGCCTTCTACTCAGAATCGTCTCCTGCATGCCATTCTTCACAGTCTTCCCCGTCAAAGCGGCCAGGGCGCCACCATTCGTCATCGCTGGGCTCTTCTGCCTCCCCGCCTTCCTCAAGCACGCCCCCCTCCTCCTCTGCCGCCGCCGCTTCCGCGTCCTCCTCAGCGGCGTCAGCCTCCTCTGCCGCCGCCTGCAGCACCTCGGCCGGCATGGGGACTTCGGCGTAGAAGGGGTTGACGACGAGCTCGTCGTCAACCAGGTCGTTGACGTCGTCAAGGACTTCCACCTCACCCTTGTCCCGCATGTGGGCAAGGATGAGGTGGTCCTCGCTGCCATCGATGGGGGTGGAGATCCCACACGTGACGAACGCCTTCTTCACGAGCTCCTCTGGGATTGCTTCCCAGGACTCATCGATCCAGCGGAGCACCAACTCCGCTGGCGGCTTCTTGAGATTGCCTGAGGGACGGGGAAGGGTAGACAAGGACGAATGTGAATTTCCAGAGCGTAAGCTGACATTGATTAAAAGTCACGCATGCGAATGTCATGGTTCAACTCACCGGCCTTGGTGGTGGTGTTGATTCCTTCTTCTTCGAACCAGCTGCTGTAGCGATGACGCACACCGCACTTGAACGCGCGGTTGATCGACACATCCAGCCCCCTGGGATGACAGCCCGTGACAGCCGAAACATCCGCATGGTCTGCCCGACCACCTCAGTCAAGTGGCCGCGGTAGGAGTCGAGCACAACCAAGGCCTCCCTGCGGCGTCCAGTGGATTCACGCAAGGGCTTCAGAAACGGCACCATCACCTGGGTGATCCAGTCCTGCACAAGTGATTCGTCCATCCACCCTTTGTCTTGTGCACGGACCACCACACCTGCCAAAGAATACCGGTACGTCAGGGTCAAATTCGGTTGCGACTGTTGACAGGCTAGAGTAGTGACATCATCCTAAACGTGCTACGCTTACCGGCAGGGATGGGCACCTTCGGTATGGTCTTGCGCTTGAACACCACGTACGGCGGCAGCTTGAGCCCGCTCGCAGTTACTGCCAGCATGACAGTAACACGCTCCTTCTCATAGCCCGCACTCCGTACGTGAACCGTCCGCGCTCCCTTCATTTCGAGCGTGCGCTCCGCCGGCATCTCCAGGAAAAGCGGGGTTTGGTCCGCGTTCAAGATGAGGTCAAGCGGGTAGTCGTGCAGAGAGCGCATCTGGCGCACAAACTCCCAGAAGGACTCCACCTTGGCCTTGCAATCTGCAAGCAAAGCCACGAGACACATTAGCTCAGCACTGAGATGGCAATCAAGGAGCACGACGGCGCAACACTTACCCGCTGCCAACTTCTGTCCCATCTTCGTCTTCACCCGCCTCGCCAGATGCCAGCGCGCGCGGAAACGAGTCGCCCAGCGGAACGATGCGCGCCAGTTGACCCCGGGCATCCGGTGCTTCATGTACTTGGCGCTCCACTTCTGGAGCATGCTGACCGAAACGGCGAGCCCCCTCCCCCTGTGCTTGAGGAACTGGCGGTAGACCGCCCGTTCCATGAAAGGGAACTTGGACTTGCGGCCAGCTCCCATGAGGCGACGACGGCAGCTGGAAGAGACCTCCAGCCGCTCCCTCATCTTCTTCCAATCGCGGATCTGGCATGGCTGCACCTTCGCGAGCTTCGCCAGGGCGCGATTCGACAGGTCGGGCTGCGAGTCCTGCATCTTCAACCAGTGGAGCTTCTCCTTCGCGGTGATTCCCTTGCGCTGGCGTTTCGTCATGCGATGGCGAGGGGATGGCGGGTCAGCATCGGCGTTGCGCTTCTGCTGTCCCTGCGGGCGGTTCCGCTCCGGGAATGTGGGCACAACCACTCAAGGAAGGGTAGGGCGAGGACGGTCCAAGCTACTGCTCGGTTCATCCCTGGTAGAAGCACTACCGAGAGCATCCGGCTGAGGAAAGATCGGGCGAGGAGACGTCCGTGCGCGTGCATAAGCGCTAGTCTGATTGGTGGAAACAGGCCGCTGCCGCCTATCTACCGTACTGCTAGAATCTGGAGATGAAGCCATGCTTGGGAACTAAGGCAGGTCGATGTCACTCGCCATGGGAGAAATGACTTAAAAGACGATACCCTCGTGCACAGGAAGGAGACGCTCTCACAGCCTGCCGAGCACTTGTCAAAGACGTGCACTGGAGCCGCTTGACGAAGAGAAGAGCAAGCTTGGGTGAGGAAGCTTGGACATGACTACCGTACACGGCAGTCAAGGGGTCACAGGTACAGTGACAACACAGCACCGTGCGCGATTCCGGCCTCGTACTGCATGAACCCAAGCTGCGCGAGGTTGGCACTGATGTCAACCAATCAGGTGGCACAGTGGGCCCACTGGAATTTGCCATGTGGCAGATTCCAGTGGAGGCCGACGTTATCCTCGTAGACGCGGTTTGGCGGCCCTGATTTTAAAAATAATAACAAGGCCAGACCCCTGTTTTTGTTTCCATTCATTTCTGCTTATAAAAAAATGTGCAATATAATAAGACCCGGGTATTATGTATTTTTTTCCTATGAGGAGACCCCCCCCATTTTTTCCCTGTATTTTTAGCTATACCCTAGGGTGTTATGTCCGGGAGAATACGGGTAATTCGGGGTTTTTATCTTGAAGTAGGCTCAGCAGAAACGGATCTGGACCACCGCGTGGCGTCTGGAAGGGATGACAAATTTCGCCAATATGGTTGGTGTCTGTTTCTCAGCTTCTGTGCGACAGCAATCGCATGTTTTCAACGCTTCCAATGGGCGTGAATTTCAAATCTCCCCCGACCGACCCCTTACCCCTGCCCCCCTCCCCTTCACTGAACAGACCAACATTACTGTATGCCGCTTTCATGCTGTTTTGTAGTAGTGCCACACCTTCTCTGTTTCTAATTCTGTACCACGGCAAATTACTGTACTAGTCCGGGCAGCATGTTGAAATGGTAGCATGGACGTTTTCGTTGTTTTTTTTCAAGGACCTCAAGGTGTGGCAGCCATGAGCTTCGGTCGAGCAGCCGTGATGGAAGCAAGGACTCCTCCATCCCAGCTACTGTAATCGCAACCCTCCAATCACTTTGCTTCCTGCCCCATGACGGTTGCACCCTTCTCACAACCAGAAGGGAGGCATCAACCCTAAATCCATGCCTCCCTGTGTTTAGGGTTGATGCCTCCCTGACCGGATGCATCACAGTCAAGACGTGCACCCCACCTCATTTCTTCACGACGAATTCCATTTTCTATTGCACAAAGCCACACAGGTGGCATTTAGCTCTTCCCCCTCATTTTCCCCTCACCGATTTATGACTTAGTCACTGCCACGAATGGCGCCCACTGCCAAAGCCAAGCTAGACAAGGAGGAGAAGCAGAAACCAGATCGGGCGGATCAGGTGGCTCGGCTGATGGGCTTGCTACATCGTGATCACACGCAGCCTCACGAACCTCCGCCGCCCGACGAGGACGACGACCAAGACCACCCCCCTGCCGCCGCCGCCAAGCCTGCGGCTCCCAGCGCGGCGGCCAGCCGCTGCTCCAACAGCGGAAGGCGGGCGGCCCCTGAGAGCGCTGACGGATCGTCGGCGTCGGCGCGGCGCAGCAGCACACCTCCCAGCCCGTCGCACGGCATGGCGCCGTCCGTGTCGTGGGAGGGGCATTGCAGTTCGCGAGGCGCAACCGCGGAATCTCCTCGCTACGCCAACGCGCCGCCGCCGCAGCAGCAGCAAATGCGCGGCCGTCCACGTCCTCAAGCAGTGCAAGCGCCGTCGCCACGTGGCGCTCAAGCCGTCGCGCGGTCCTTCAACGACGGCGGGGTTGAATCCCCGCACACTCCGCCGGACCAGCCCCCTCCGCGCATCGGCCCAACAGCCTCGTCGCCGCACTCCGGCGCGGGGCTGCGTGCTCTGCCGCGGCCCAAGACCGGGGAGCAGCTTCAAGGCCCGCCGCTGCCGTCACCACGGGGAGCGCCTTCCCCCAAGACGTGGAGCAACCCCGATGGTGCCGCCCCAGGCCACGCCGCCGCACCGCGAAAGAACCGAGCACCTTCCATCCGGCTCGATGGCGTGTCGGGCGACGACGTCACTGGTAGCGGCGGCACGACGCCGAAGGGAGCGGCGGCGCGGCCAAGTTCATCAACGGGTCGTCGCGACCCGAACCGCGCGTGCAGCATGGGCGATTTCCCCGACGCGCGCCTCGCCGACGGTGGCAGTAGCGGCGCACTCATGCCCCCCCTGTCGCCCCTCGGCAGCGCAGGTGGTGGCGCGCGATCGGCGGTAGGCGCGCGGGGGAGGCGCGTGGCGACGAAGCACGCGAGTCTGGGTAACCAGGAGTACGAGCGCATGCACGTCGCCACCTCGCCGGGCCCGGTCAACCCCAGCCTGTCGCCGCTACACGCGGGCGCCGTACCTCGAGCAGGCGGAAAGCAGGCGGCTGCCCTCCCCCTCCCCGCCGCCGCCGCATGCGCGCACCTCAGCCAGCCCTGGCGCTGGCGCTGCTGGTGCGCCGACCGGCCGGGTGAAGCCGGGGAGGCGAGCGAGCATGGGAGCGGACGGCATGGAGGCCATGATGCGCGCAGCGGCGGCGGCCGCCACCGACGGCAGGCGCGAGAGCGTCGATGACTCGGCGGCGCCGCCTTAGGGCTGGGAAAAGGCCTGGATGGGCGACGGCCAGGAGAACGGCAGCGAGAGGCGGAGGGAGGCGGGTCCCGCGCGGACGCTTAGAGAGCCGAGGAACGATGTGGAGGGAATGAGAGTGAACGAGGAGGGCGGAGCAGAGGGAGCAGTGGCGGACGAATTTGGGGGGGAGGAAACATGCCGCAGTCCGGTGCTGGGCGTGCAGGGGCGCACAAAGGAGACGGCGTGGGCGGAGGAGACGGTGGAGAGCGTGGAGGCGTGTAGTGGCGGGGGGGTGTCCGCGAAGGCGGGGAGCGGCAAGAAGGGCAGTCAGGCGCGGAGCCGGACGGTGGACGAGGATGCGGCCGACGTGCAGCCGGCTGAGCGGCCGCGCGGGAAGGCGAAGGCGAAGGCGAGCCCCAAAGCGAGCCCCAAGGTGAGCCCGAAAGGCGCGAGCGGGCGACGGCTTGCGCGGCCGATAGAGGAGGACGAGGGCGCGGAGGACTCGGGCGGAGCGGCGAAGGCAATGGCGGGCGGGCGAGGGAAGGCTGCAGCTGAGGCGCGGGGCGCAGCGAAGGGGCGAGTGAAACCGCGCAGCATGGAGGCGGACGAGGGGGTTGGCGGGGGCGAGTGTCAAGGGCGATCCGGCGGGAGAACGGCGGGGCGCGAGGACGCCAAGGGGGTGGGTGCAGGCAGTGCGAAGCGGGGAAGAATAGCGCGGAGCCTGCGGGAGGACGACGAGGAAAAGGTGCGCGCGGTGGGGAAGGCGGGAGGCAGCCTGGTGAGGCGGGACGCACATGCGGTAGAGGCGAACAAGACTAAGGGGCACGTGAGGGGTGCAGAGAGCGAGCAGCACAGCGCTGCCGGCGGAGCGAGGCAGAAGGCGGCGAATGGGATCTCAGGCAGGAAAGGCGGCTCGCTGGCGCGGAGCATGACGGAGGATGAGGATGACGATGCGCATGCGGGCGCGGTGCGGGCGCATGGCGGCGGGGGGAGAGAAGGCGGACGGGGCGTGCAGGTGAGGGAGCAGTCGACAGGGAGGGCGCGCGGGGAGGGGGCGAGCTCAAAGGGGCGGGCGAGAGGGGAGGTGGAAAGTGGAGAAGGCGTAGCGACGGGGAAGGCAGGAGGCGGCCTGGTGAGGTGTCTGTCGGACGACGAGGAGGATGCGGATGCAGGGAAGGCGAGAAAGGCGGAGGGGCACGTGAGGGGTGCAGAAAGCGAGCAGCACAGCGCTGCTGGCGGAGCGAGGCAGAAGGCGGCGATTGGCAAGTCAAGCAGGAAAGGCAGCTCACTTGTGCGGAGCATGACCGAGGATGGAGATGACGATGCGGATGCAGGCGCAGGGCTGGGACATGGTGGCGGGGAGAGTAAAAGTGGACGTGAGTGTGCGGGGCGGCAGGTGCAGGTGAGGGAGCAGCGGAAAGGGAAGGCACGGGGGGAGGGGGCGAGCCCAAAGGGGCGGGCGAGAGGGGAGAGAGAAAGTGGAGAGGGCGTGGCGCGCGGGAAAGCATTGAGTGAGGCAGAGGAAGTCCGTGGGGACAAGGTGCACGCGGTGGGGAAGGCAGGGGGCAGCCTGATAAGGTGCCTGTCGGACGATGAGGAGGACGCGGGTGCGGGGAAGGGGGCAAAGGCTGAGGGGCACGTGACAGGTCCTGAGAGCGAGCAGCACAGCGCTGCTGGCAAAGCGAAGCAGAAGGCGGCAATTGGGAACTCAGGAAGACAAGGCGGTTCGCTGGTGTGTACCATGAGTGATGATGAGGATGCCAACGCTGATATGGGCGCGTCACAGGGGCATGGTGGCGGGGAGAGTGAAGGCGGGCGTGAGGGTGGGGGGCAGGGCGTGTAGGTGGGGGAGCAGCGGAAAGGGAAGGCTTGTGGGGAGAGGGAGAGCATAACCAGGCAGGCGATAGGGGAGATGGAAAATGGAGAAGGCGTGGCGCAGGGGAATGTGGTGAGTGCGGCAGGGGAAGTGCATGGGGACATGGCGCATGAGGGGGGTGAGACAGGAGGCAGCCTTGTGAGGTGCCTGTCAGACGAGGAGGAGGACGCACATGCGGCACAGGGGAGCACGGCTGAGGGGACTAAGGCTGAGGGGCACGTGGCGGGTGGAGAGAATGAGCACGCATATGCTGGAGGAGCGAAGCAGAAGGCGGCGAGTGCCAACGCAGGAAGGAAGAGCAAGTTGTTGATGCGCAGCATGACTGAGGATGAGAGCTTGGAGGAAGCGGAAGTGCCCGCCAAGCCCATGCCGGCCAAGCCCGTGCCTGTTGTGGATGAGCCAAAGCCCACGAGCCGGGCACTGGGGGCACGGGTAGGACAAGGTGAGGGTCGGGGTGCAGGGGTGACTAGAAAGGCTTCCCGTGAGGCGGGGCAGCGGGCAGGGCGGGGAGTGGCAGGGCAGCAGGGCCGGGCGGAGCAGGCGGCACAGATGGCACCGACAGAGGAGTTGCCAGAGGCACAGGGAGGCGAGAAGGAGAAGGGGAAGCAAGGCATTGGCGGACTAATGAGCAGGCTCAAGGTCCTTGCCACATGAACCAGGGCGGTTATAACCAGCTCCCATTGTACCGCATTCCCCCGATATTCCGCCCAGGGGCGTTTAGGGGTAATGGGGAAGGGGAAGGGGAGGGGGGAAGAGGGAGGAAGGGTGGGGATTTGTTAATCATAAGAAATTGGATTACCGTGTAGGGAATCAGTTTTCCTTAGCAGAAACGAAGTTATCGTGTACCGGCAATTGGGATACCGTAGGGTTTAGGCCCGTCTGAAAATATAAAAAATAAAAATCGTTTTGTCTGACGTTCAGACGAGCATATTTTTTTGGTATGATTTTTCGTTTTCAAAGTTTTTGAATTCGCCGCTGGCGCAGTGCGGTAACAGCACGCTAGCTGACAGACACGTGGCAGGCTGGCCTGTGAGAGGGATTGCGGGCTAGCTTTGTACGAGGCTGGGTGGCGAGAGGTGCCGCATCCTAACTGTACTGTACTGAAGATACAGTACGAGGGACTAGGGGGGGGCCTGGGAGACGATAGGCTCGGTCGGAGACATGAAGGACATGGGGAAGTGGGCTCGGGTGGGAGTGGGGGGGACCTTGGGGAGGGGAGGAAGGGATGGACTGGGGATGCAGGCAGGAGGATCGAGGATTCGAGGGCCTTTTGGTTGGGGGGAGTGGGGGAAGGCTGGGCGGATAGGTGAGGGAGCGAGAAATTGGGGAAGGATAGTGGTTGCGAGCAAGGTTGTAGAAGCAACGGCATTTGCCCTTAATGCCCTGAACATTCCAGCCTACGTTTCGAGCAGCTCGACCATATAAAGTGTTAGATAGGCATGGCACCCGTGACAGTTAAGGGCCTCGTTTGGGCCTTCCCTTGAATCAAGTTTTGGTTTCTGTTTTGAAGGACCCCCCCCCCCCCCACCCGAATTCCCGCCGCCATCCCCTCCCCCCCCCAACCCCCACTCCCCGATATTTTTGCGGACGGTGTTTTTGCGGACGATGTAGAGGCTGTAGGCTTGTAGATGAGTAGTTTGTGTGTACCTTTTCCGGCTAAGTAAGAAGTAAAAATCCTCCTGTGTTACATTAGGGCCAAAGTACACTTTCCTAAGAAGCGCTGATTTCCAGTTTTGAATTTGGCCTACGCCCCTGAAAATCAGGGCAAGAATTCGAACAGCTCAGGACTCAAAGTTTTGGTCCCAGGGACTTCGACAGGCCTGGTTGCGAGAAGGAGAAACGGATTCCAGGTGGGAAGTGGAGCAGGAGCACCTGTGGTTCAACAACCGGATTCTGTTCAGGGGGAAAAGCCCTTTTGGTGCGCAACGTGGGCCGGAGTGTCTGAAGGGGATGAGACTCAAAGACCTACTCATCACAAATCATGACGGAACGATTACAATGAAAGATTTGCAGCGGCTCAGCAGGGAGCTGGGGTGGAAGATCCCCGCCAGATGGGCGCTCAAAGCTTTCCAGGCTACACCGACGGAGTGGTGTGACAAATTGATAGCTAAGCGGACGGCAGAGGAAATGGCTACAGCAATGAGCATGGTGTGCACTGGAGCGAATAAACTGAAGCAGAGGAACTACTGGAGGATACTCAGAACAGAAGGGGAGAGACAGGTGGTGAAACGAGTAGAGGTGTTGAGGGGGCAGATAACTCCGGTGCCATGCGCCAGCCCTTTCGACATCAGCACAGCGTGGGTTACACCGATTAAAGAAGTGGACGGGAAAGTCTTGGGCCCGCTCGGGCATCACCTCACACGGCTCAGGGAATCGGCTCTCTGCAAGGGAGGGGAGCTGTTGTCTCTAAAATCCCTAAGGAAGGCAATTGGGGTACCAGCCGAGAAGCCAAAACAGCAGGTCTGCTGGGAGGAGGAGTACCGAGGGGCGATCAATTGGGCCAAAGTCATTGCTACACGCGACTCAATGGTGGTCCCGTCCAGAGCAAGAGAGGTGCTCCTTCGCCTTCACACCAGAAATCTGCAAGTGGGAGCCAGACTCCCTTTCCTGGGTGACTTGGTGCGCTGCCCACTCTGTGGAGCACACGAGACAGTGGACCACTGCCTGATGACGTGTCCGGAGGCGGGGAGAGTGGTTGGAAAGTTACAGGCGACGCAGAAAATGTTTGGAGCCAAGGAGGAGGCAAAAATTGTGGGGGAGCTGATTTTCCAGAGCACCGGTACGAAGTCGAGCTTCCCAGAATTATTGCTGGTGGCAATCACTGTGCATCAGTTATGGCTGGAGAGATGCGGAGCGGTCTTCAGACAGGAAAAGTTCAAACACAAAAGGGTGATAAGGAAAATTATGGCGAATTTCATGCGTCACGTGAAGGTCTACAGCAAGTGGAGAAGCATGCAGCGTTACAAGACAAGGGCAGCGAGTGGAGATGACTGGGAGCACCTGGCACGGGATGAGGCAAGGGCCCTCGGCAAGATTTTCGCTGGGGAAAATGAGATGACGTGGAAGGAGGGGTTTCGCTCGACCTGGGAGGATCCACGGACCCATTTTAAACCGCCTCAAAAGCGGGGTTGGGGGAGTGACTGCTATACCCGATAGTAGTTAGGTCCTCCATTGAAAACAGTTACGACAGTGGTTGTATGCTTATAAAGTGTACTTCCAACCAAAAAAAAAAAAAAGGGTTGCGAGAAGGGGAGGGGAGGCGGCTGGGTGGGGGGCCGGGGGAGGAGGGGAGGCGGTGTCAGTGTCAGACAAACATACTCGCTATATGAAATTTCAGAGGAAGTGTTACACTTGCTCTAAAAAATCAGACAAAAAAAATCACAAGTCTTATGGAACAGACGAAATAAATTCCTTTGTCTTTGAAATCAGATGAAACAAAAAATGTAGGTCTGAAAATCAGACCATCAGACCAATTTGGTCTGATAACGAGAGCCATGGTACCGTAGCTTCAGTATTCTTGAAAATGTTTTCGCATTGAACAACTCCATATACCGTACCAGGTCAGCCGTCTAAAAAATAGCATATGTGGATGTACCCGGTTGGACATTTTACTGAGAATTTGCAAACGCTGCATGGCAAATAATTCATCCAGCCAATCATCTACAGCTTATGGTTTCTTGGTAGCAAACAGTCCCACATAGTAATACGGTACCGGTACCGTATGAACAATTGTGAGAACAAATGACACGTGATAAAAAAAAAAAAGAGAGCAAGCGACAGGTGAGAGAAACGTTGTGAGAACAAGCGACAGGTGAGAGAAAAGTTGTGAGAACAAATGTCAGGCGAGAAAACAATTGTGAGAACAAATGACAGGTGAGAGAGAAATTGTGAGAACAAGTGTCGGATGAGAGAAAACATGTGAGAACTGTCAAAACATATGTCTTTATATTAATCTAGGCTGTAGTGGGGTTGTCAAAAGAATGAACGAGAATGAATGAACTATGAAAGAGTTGGGTACAAGTACTAACCCTAATTGGGTTGTACCCCTTATGGGCTACCCCACTATAGCCTACACAATGTAAGCACTATATAAGTTTGACACTCCCCCATAGGCAAAGTGGGGGAGAACAAGGGGTCACAAGACCAGTCAAGAAAAGCAAAGCAAGCTCAGGGTGGATCACAAAGTCACCACACAGTCTGAGCACAAGCAAATGGCCACAAGGCCAGTTCACATGCAGAGTTATATAAAAGAGAACAAACAATACAATGATCATACCCTAGCAAGTATAAGCATGCAGGTATGTATATAGATCACAGTACAAGCAAAGTCACGCAGTGAGCAAGTGAGGCAAAGTAGGCACAAGGCCTAAAACAGTAGAGAAGCGCTGATGATCACCAGGCTGAAGTGCCTTGGTGAATATATCAGCAGTGTTGGCCCTAGTGGCCACGTACGCAAGACGAAAATGACCACGCTGCTGCAACTCTCGAGCAAGGAAGTATCGCAGAGCAATGTGCTTCGTTCGGTGCTCTAGTCTGTGCTCCTGACACAAGGCAATCATGGCCTTGTTGTCTATGTACAGAACTGGAGGCGAACGAGGCTGCTCTCCCAAGTCAGTCAGCAAGTAGGTGAGCCAGCGTAACTCCTGTGTAGCCATGGCCCCAGCGTAGATCTCAGCCTCACAACTGGAATTGAGAACCAAAGACGAGTGGGTAGACTGCCAAGAAACAGATCCGGAACCGAGGCTGAAGGTGTAACCCTCTGACGACCACTGCGTAGCCAAGTCGTCAACCCAAGAAGCGTCTGCGTGACCAGTGAGGACAACTGGACCCCGTCCTCCAAGCACGAGCCCCATGCCTGACGTACTGCACAAGTAACGTAGTACCCTCTTCGCAGCATCCCAGTGCACCTTTCGGTGCCTACCGGGAGCCACGTAGTGAGCCAGAAGGCTAAGAGGGTACGCGAGGTCAGGTCGTGTGCACGTTATCAGGTACATGAGGCAACCCACAAGCTCTGGGTACGGACCACTCGGCTCTACGGACTCGTCCGAAGGTGGAGCTGAGAGCAAGTGGCCGGTAGACAGAGGAGTGGGCTGTGGCGAGGAGAACTGGAAGTCGAAGCCGTGAAGGGCCTGGTGCACCATGTGTGACTGAGTCAGGATGATGGTGCGCCGTGCTTTGTCCCAGGTGATATGCAAGCCAAGATAGCTGCGCAGTTCACCCAGGTCAGTGCAGGTGTGTCTCTTCTGCAGCTCCGACTTCACAAGGGTCAGTGGCTCAGTGTCAGCAATGGCAAAGACCAGGTCGTCGACGTACACGAGGACGTAGAACGACGGCAGCGATGTGTCGGTGCATAGAAACAGCGACGGGTCAGCAGTAGAAGGAGTAAACCCCAGAGCTGCAAGTGTAGTCCTCAGTGTGTCGTGCCACTCGCGAGGCGCCTGGCGGAGACCGTAGACTGGCCGTCAAAGGCTCCACTGGGTACCTGCAGGAAACGACCCAGTGAAGCCAGGTGGGCGGCGTAGCCAGATCTCCTCATGCAGGCTGCTCTGCAAGAACGCTGTACTGAAGTCCTGCGAGTGCAACTCGTAGTCACGCTGAGCAGCGACGTGGAGCAACACCCAAAGAGTAGTCATCTTCGGGGTTGGGGAGAAGGT